TGTCTCATATTATATTTATCGTTGTCTTTTAATTAAGTTTTATATGTTGTTATTGTATTTCATCTTTTGTTTTTTGTTGTATGCAGTGGATGGGAAAGATAATGCAGGACGTACAAAAACTCTCTCTTGAGAAGGACAACATGAGTGCAACAGGGAGAGCTGTTGTTGATAGTCTGGAACAGACCCTTGCGCAGTGGGAGTCGTCGTCGAGGAGGGATTACTGGTGGTTTTGTCATTTTATTTATAGAGCACTTTAAATATTATCGTTTTAATTTATTAAATTGGACATTATGTTGTAAGTTTGTAACATTTTAGATTGTTCTTTTAGCTTCCAATTTAAACATATTATCATTGCTATTTTTAAATTTTGATATAACCGTTCGTGGATCCGCGCAACTTACCCATGCAACATATAGAATGCAGTAAGCAATACAATATAAAAGATTAATGTTCTCATTACAAGAGCAACGTACAAATAAGATTACATAGGAAGAATGTAAACATGAAAAACTAAAATGCAGCTAGGGTGTTCCATTCGTGGATCCGGTCATGATATAGCGCATCCCAACCCTCTACGCTCGCTGTGCGAATGTTGTACCACCGAGGTATAATCGGTGGCACTGGAAAATCGGATGACATGTCTAGTCGGATGAAATGTCTGTATGACGACCCAAGAAACGCAATAGCTAGCTCTCTGACCGGTGTGGTGACAGTCTCACGCGACCGCCAAGGGAGAACCGTGGTACAAGGATAATAAGCTTGACTATGCACTCCCAGGCCGAAATGCATGACTGCGCATTTGTAAATGTTTGCAACGGCAAACAGATCTAGGGGCGCGTCAAAATAATGATTTTGGCCGCAAGGTCCACCTCCCCACCGGATACGCCGCAGAGCGCCATCCAAGTCATCCTGGTACACATGACGATAAACATTTCGGTTAGAGGCAATTTCGCTGTACATCAACTGACGCACCAAACCGTAGTTGTCTTCGCCCATTTGAAAAACATCAGCCACGACCCGGAATCCGCAGTTACCATCTCCGACTACATCATTCCACCCTTCCAAGTACGGCATGATGATCGCAGGTATCCTTTCCTTGTACGGAAACTGATCAACATCGTTTCTTCCTATTCACCATATAATTATAGACAGTTAAGAAGGCAGGAGTAACACTTTAAAACTATGTGCAATGTAAACAACCAAAACGTACCAGTTCTCAGGGGCATATTCACAGACGATGAAGATTGACTACGACTAGATGACGATGTCCGACCACGACCACGACCACGACCAAGACCACGGATATACTCAAACGCACTCCTGTTCCGTCGTTGTCGACCTCGAGGACGGTCAACTCCTTCAGGTTCCTCATAATCTAAGGTAGACGTGTGGAACATGTCATGAAGTACATGAGTAGCGTCATGAATAATAGAAGGATGGCTGGAGGACACTCGGTCGTACATCGAACGAAACTGCTCAACTCCTCCTGTTCACGGTCGGCCGTTTGAGTGTCTGCATGCTCACCAATAACAAGCGTCCTCCAGAATGAATGGACCTGATCAACATGTAACGACGCCCTTTCTTCTGTAATAACGCGGTGAATGGTGCATGCGTAAGGTAATCCATGAGTTACTGAAATAGCACACCCACACCGAGCATACACTTCGTCAGCCAAGTCCCTCATCCTGTTCAGCTCAGTGAGAATCAACCCCAAGCAGTAGTGCGACACACGACCATGGAGAATCTTAAATATAAAATGGCTATACATCGTACCATGTCGTCGTCTGGAGTCCTCTAAAGAGTTCCTGATGCCGTTCTTCTGAGTTTCAATTGACTTGTTAAGTCTATCGAACAGTGTATCCAAAGCAGCGGTCGATGAATCAATCCAGTCCTTGGTAGCTCTATGAGCGCTCTCAACTCTACATGTTGTAGTGTTCCCGAAATGAAGTACCTGGTTTGTCCAATATTTGACAAACTTTTCCCTGTGAGGGACCCATTGCTGCATCACATAGTCCACCAGTGCCGGACACCACTGGTACGAATCCCTGAAGTTAGCCAATGCTCGCTCATACGCTTCCTCTGTGGTAGCCTGTAGGATTTTCCGCCACTTACCATTCACCAATCTCTCTGCCATTTCCAAATTCTTGTTGAAAAGGTTGTAGGCTTTCACTTTCACGCAGTTGTTGATGTGCCATGTGCACAATAAGTGGTTCGATTCTGGAAACAGCTCTGCTATGGGGGCAAAGAGACCTCCCTCACAGTCGCTGACGATGGCTGCTGGATGAACATTAGGCCCGATGTAGTTTCTCAGCTTCTCCAACACCCAATAATAACTTGGAGCCGTCTCATCCTTAATGATTGCATGACCAATCAGAAAGTTCTGGTTCGTTGGAGTCATCCCCATGATCTCAACCAGTGGGAACTTGTACTTGTTTGTCTTGTACGTTGAGTCGATCAAAATCACAAATGGCCAAGACTTGATCATATCAGCACAATCAGGATGCACAAGGAAAAGATGAGTCACCTCCGCTGTATCTTCATCAGAATCAAACCAGAACAGGTAACCACGTGATTGTGCCTGGTGTAGCAGCTGCTGTATAGGGTTCCTTCCCTCTGACCGTTCAAACCTGAGTTGCTCTCTGACGTTGTAGATGTGTCTTCGGTTTGGATGGTCTTCAGGAAATTTCTCTAACACATATGCTAATATTTTAGCAGGCTTGACTTGAGCATCACTCATTTCTTTCACAACTAGTTTCGCAGCAGGACTTAAGCCGCTCAGCTGTCGATGACCCTCTTCATATACTATCATCTCATGGTTGTGATACCCCCATTTAGAGTAACCAATCACTTCCCAACCGTCACGACTCCGTAGTTGTCGAACCTTTACTCTGAACTCACACCCACAACCTTTCCGCTTTGTATCAAACCGAGTGGTTGTACGAAAATCTCTTTCTTCTCTTTTGCGATAACAGTCACATCTCAAAATGCGATCCATTCTACCATCCCGTTGAGATTTATGAGTTACTACTACCAAGCAAAATCCAGCTGCAATTGCAACCTGTTTTGCCCAATCAATCGCCTGTTGAGCTTCTTCGAATGGACCATCATGTCCAAATATCCCATTGTAATCATTTCCGTCTCCACCATAATCCTGCATCAATTATATATTACAATAAATACATTTAACGGATAATACATTTAATTTCTATATTTACACAGAATTAACACAAAAAAAAGCATAATTATGTATAATCAAACTTAATTTTTATAAAAACCCAATTCGAATTTTCAAACTAAATTTAAAAATATACCATTTCGAATTTTCAAACTTAATTTTAAAGAAACCTATTTCGAATTTTCAAAATTAATTTAAAAAAAACCCATTTCGAATTTTTTAAAAAAATCATTTTCGATTTTTTTTTTTTTAAAAAAAAATTAAATAAAAAACAACCAAATCAAAAAAAAAAAAAAAAAAATTAATTTATAAGGGTGGCGTCTGCCAGGGCTGCCACAGCCACTGGACTGGCGCCTGGCAGGGCCGCCTCAGCCAGTAGAGTGGCGCCTGGCCAGGACGCCAGTCTGGTGGTCTGGGCGTCAGGGCTGGACGCCACTCTGGTGGTTCTGGCGTCTGGCTTGGACGTCCAGGCTACGGTTTGGGCGTCCATCCTAGGCGCCGGAGCCACTCCGACGGTAAACCGTGAATTTTAACGATGACTTACCTCATTTTCCGTCGACGACGACGTACCTCCGGCGTCCCCCGTATCTCCGGCCTGCCCTCTGGTCTCCCCCGGCGAGCCAGTACGGCTCCACATTTTTTAAACCGAGATTATTTCAATTTTAGAAAATGGGCATAATGGTCACACCAAGTCATATTTGTGGGCTTTATATGGTAATTTGCGGGCGATGTTTAGCGATTCACTTGGTTTTTTGTGCGCCAATGCTCTGTTTTGTTAATTTTATCTTTTTGGCTGATTTTCTCTATAAATAACGTATTAAAAACTCCGTTTTCATGGATCTACAATTAGTTTTCATTCGCAATCATAAATTCTCGCATTCTCTTCTAATCCATCTCTCTTTCTCTCTCTCTCTTTTTCTAATCTTGCTTTTTACATACAAAATTCCGCGTTCATTAGATCTAGAAACACCTAGCCATATTCGAAGTTGCGTTCGCCCTAGACGTGAAAGGTTTAATTTATGAGGGTTTGGTCCCAAATCTCTCTTTCAATTATTTAATTTAATTGTTTGTTTATTATTTTCCTTGAAGTTACTAACGTGTGTATTTTGTTATTAGAAAGAGGTACGAGGCATCAAAGTAAGTACTTTAATGGTTTTTATTGATATTATGATGTAGAAATCATGTTTAAATTGTTATTATGATTCCTAGTATCATGTCTAGGGTAATTTTAATATCAAGTATGATTAAAAGTATGATGCTTCCTATGTTCTTCCTAATCACTACTACAAAAAGCGTGTTTTTTAACGCTTTTTAGGCCTTTTTTCGACGCTAAAAAGTGTCGAAAAAATATTTCTCGACGCTGCTAAAAAGCGTCAAAAATACGTGAGTCGAGAATTTCGAGGGACACAAAAAGCGTCGAGAATCTCGACGCTTTTTTGTGTCCTGACTAATATACGAAGTGTCGAAAATTATGTATTTCGCGCATTATCCCAAATGTGTGTAGTTTTTTAGCGACGCTTTTACATGTCCACATAATCAAATTTAGCGACGCTTTTTGTTGTCTTGCGTTTATTCGTGTCAACCTATGGTATGGCGGGAAACTCTTGAAATATGAAAATGTGCAAAATATGTAGATATTAAAAAGCGTCTTAATTTTTTTTTTAAGCTTTTTTTTCTCCTTTTATTAAATTATTACCATCATCATACATATATTATAGTTATTTAAATTTATCATAAATTAAATTAATAACATAAAAATTAAAATAAACAAATATTGTATATAACTAGATTTAAAAAAATAAAAAAAAAAAAACAATTATTAATCAACAATAATAAGAGTACGTAGTTAATTACCAAATTTATAAAAAGAAAACATCAACACAATTAAAAACAAATTAAAACAAAAAACATCGCATATTATAGTAGCTTGTCCCTAAATAAATACATCACTAATATAAGACTAAAAACCAAAATACATAGATGATGGCCTTATAGACAATATAGTCACTTGTTTTGATGCTCAAGTGTCCCGACCTATTCTCTTGTTGTACCTATATTGACTTTTGCAATCTTCAAAAAAAAAAAAAAATACAAATTATAAATTAGTACATTACACAATATAGGCTCAAGCTTCATAATCGATTTGAGACAATAACACGGACATTATACTTTAATCTAGGCAATTAATTATGTACAATGCACATATATAAATCTGTAAAGTAGGCCTATAAATTTTTAAGCTTTCTTGCTGTCCATTAGAAAGCTTAAGAGAGTTTGTCTAATAATGGGAATAGTTTAATGATGAATTCAAAACTGAACCTTGCCAAGAGTGTAGTATCATTATGCATTTAAAGCATTTCCAAACTAACTGATTATACAGCCATTGCAGCACGCGCGCGTGCACACACACACACACACACAATCTTTACAGCAAATGAAGTTGAAAAAGACCATTAAACAGCTGATAGAGAACCTAGCATAAGAGCAATTAGTAACATCATTGAACCATAAAACAGAAATCATCTACTATCAATAGCCTATGCCTTGTGCGCGTCTTTTGTTAGGCACTTATTGTGCAGGTGGGTGTTGTGTAAGATTTCAGAGGAAAATTACAACATGTGCAGGCGCTACAGGGAAGAGGTTCACAAATAAGTAAATGACATCTCGTGGCAAAAGATAAAAATGATTATATCATTTCAAAATTGTCAGATCACTTTGATGTCCATGTATCTCAATAACTCTTCAATATTCTATAGCTGATAATTACAGCAACTTCCTAATAAGTCTATTTTAATCTTTCATTACCGATTCAATAGATTTCATTATACAAAAATTGAATCATTAATCAACTAACACTCCCATTATGAAACACCCTTCCCCCTTTAAATCACCGAATAATTAGCCGTAATTAAGCACCCCCGGCCCATTCATATAGAATTTAACTATTTCCCTAAATTGTAGCCTCTAACCCAAAAATGGGGAGCCATTATGACAAGTTCTGATGATCAGATCTGAATTCAGTTATGAAAATCAGCTCTGAACTTCAGATCTGAATTTGGGTCACTTCCTTTTTCCCATTTTCTTTCAAACAAACAATTAGAGCATCCTACAAATTTTTTCCAAGGTTATCACTTTAACAATGTTACATGCAATTTTACTTAGAGTTTAACAAACACATAGCAAGTAGCAATGTTTTAGCAAAAGTAGCATAGAAACAGCAGGAGGCAAAGCAGAAGTTCCGAATTCAAACTCCCAAAAAAACAGGTTTGAATTCAGTTCTAAATTCAAACTCCCAAAAAAACAGGTCTAAATTCAGTTCTAGATTCAATTCTGGATTCAGTTCTGAATTCAAACTCCCAAAAAATCAAGTCTGAATTCAGTTCTGGATTCAGTTCTAGATTTCAGTTCTGATTTCAGTTATAAAGAGAAATGTGACTTTGTTACCAGATGTTTTGCCTTTCCTAAGAATTCAGATGCTTTGTTTAAAAGACCCGGAGATGCATTCCCTTAACGAACTGCACCTACAATATGAGAAAATTGTCCAACAAGCGCTTTAAGAAGAAGATTGTTAGACAATTTAAGTCAAAGTATATAAAAAAGGTCCTACAGGCAAGTGAGGTTGGGCCATAGGTGAGCTTAGCTTTGTCGAAGTAGAATCCTAGAGCTTTATAGGTAACTTATAAATTCATAAAAAGGGTTCAAGTCTAGTTACACAAGATAGGACACAATCACACCACGAACACACACAAGATAGGATACAAACACGACCATGAATATAGCCGGGCAGCAGCATAGTTAACAAAGAAAGGCAGTAGCAAGTTTGCAACAACACCTCAATGCATGAAGCAGCAACATAAATCAATAACAGCAGCAACATCAAACAAGAACAAAACAGAACAACAATTAATAATAATAGGGGGTTCTAGAAATTCCATTTCTTGTAAATACACAAAACTGACATGTATTCTGTAAAGTGGTACAAAAACTTACATGTATCCTGTAGCGTGGTACAACCAATGACTACACCTTTAGCTTCTTAAAGGTATTTCTTTCGACGATGAATGTTTGGCCACATATCCATGTCAAGAACATGGCTAATAGTGTGAGAGGCCACCTGAGCTAGAGATACAATTAACAAAAGAGAAAAAGATCAAAGAATGTTGACTTTTACCTAAAAAATCGTAATACATACGGAACCAAAAACAATTAAACAAAATAAAAAATGATTGAAAAGAGGCTATCAAACAACTCAAAAGTCATCATAATCGTGCTTCAAATGCAGAACAAAAAGCTGAATTTTTCAGAATATACATAAAATAGAAGCACAATGAAACATAATAATACTTTGTATACATGAAAAATCCTTGAAATATCTACTGTCTATGAATAAAATATTTTAAAACAATACAGACAAAGCAATTACTAACAGGAAGGTCAAATTCATTAGGAAGGTAAAAAACAGAACAAAAAAAAACCCATAAAAACCGAAAATCTGAAGAACCAAAAGACAAAGATGGTATAAATTTGAGATTAATTAGATGAAACCTTAGTGTCCTCGTCCAATGGAATGTAAGCCATTTCTTTGCAAAGGTCAAACAAACTGTACTTCACACTCTAGCTGAAAATATTTTGCAAGACACCCACATAAACTGCTGCTAGAAGAGGAGTCAACCCAATGGATCCAATTACAGGTGTAAGTGGAGCACCAAACAAAATCAATGAAAAGAAACCAACTCCTGTAATGAGAAGAACAGACATAACCATGTGAAAATTTGGTTTGTTTTATTTGATGTCAGCAGCTTGTAATGTCAAGAGTACAATTTTTACAATAAAATAATTTCTCTCTTGTTTATATACTATTGAAACATGGAAATAACTATGTCGTACAAAACTATAGCTGATAGAGTGATAGAGTGGGAAGATATTAACCTTTAACCCAATGAAATACAGTAAGTTTTTTTTTTCTCAACTTTGAAGCATAAAGAGTTATCAAGAGCTTGTTTTCTTAAAGCTAAGTTCAATTAATTTAATAAAATTAGATCTTTTGACAAAAGGTTAGTAAAATTTTGCTAATAATAATTGCACAACAATAAAATGCTAGATACAAAATAGTGTAATAAAAGAAAGACTCGGAACAAAATAATGAACAACAACCAGGTTCTCATATCAAAGACCAAACTTCTCACACAAAACAATAGTTATTATCACCTGATTCACAAATGTGCGAGATATACATCTATCCTTGTCAATTATCCATTCAATTACAATACATAAGCTAAATAGTCACAACATAGACTTACATTCATGATATTCTATATATACAAGCACTCTAAGACAAGGCCCACACCAAAATTGTTTCAACATACAGCTTAAGCAAAACATCTTCCAATTCAGTTTAAGAGTGTAAATTTTAATCAAAGTTCAAATTTTGCTAACTCGTAATTTAAGAGCATAATTTCTAAAGTAAAATGATTTATCTATTATTTATAAAATATTGAAACGTGGACCAAACCACAAACAAAACTATAGCTAACAGAGGGATATGAAGAAATTAACCTTGGACCATGAAATACTTGTGACTTTGATGAATTCTCAGCAAATAAGAGTAATTTATAAAAATAATTATTCCCATTAAAATTAAAAAAGACAAGATGAACGGCTTGATCAAAAACCAGCAGTAGCTCCCACCATCCATTCATTAGGAAGCACGCGGTCAACAAACAATGATGTGAGCATAAATGTCATAGCATATTTCCCAAATAACTACTTATTTCAAATATTAATTTGATTCTCGTGGCCCTTAATTAAAAAATTCATATGTACCTGGAGATTTCCTTTGTTGATCGCCATTGTTACTTGGATGGGCTAATGTTGATGCCTCACATTGTAGAATCTGCAAGATTCATGACAGTTATTCAGTGATTTCAACAAGATCTAGAACCTAGGGTTTTGAAACGAGTAACATTTGGCAATTGCAACTTACAAGTATCAATTAAAGTCTCACAAAAAATGAAAGAATTACTATTAGGAGTTAAAAACCAACAAAGAGTGATGTAAAAATGCACCTTGTGAGGTGAACAAGAGCACTAGCTGTCGCAAATCCATCTTCAAAGCAAATAATCAGATCTGAGAGAAAGAAAATAATTTTGTCAAGATATATAAATTATTGTGATAGAATTTTAGAAACGCAAAGAGAAAGAGGATCTGAATTCGAAATCTAAGCCATGACTCCATGAATCTCTGCGTATAATTCCGATCGAATGAAGAAAAAACACAGAATATTTAGGGTTAAGAATATGATGATGAGTGGGGGGTTTTGTGGGTATAATGATCGTGTTGCTCACCTGATTGAGTACACGTGCGGGGCACATGTCAGTGATCTCGACACTAAAAGTAGTCTAAAATTACTTCAGACACTGTGAAGCGTCGAAAAAGGCTCCTTTTGTAGTATTGAATATTTATGATTGTTAGTATCATGTTAGGGTTAAAGATTTGATTTTTATTGTTTAGTGACATGCTAGAGTTTGTTATTAATCTCGTTAGTATCATGCCTAAGATCTTGCTATTTTTATTATGTTTTAACATGATTTATGATTATTTTTATAATTGTTTTGATTATGATTATAATTTTATTATTGCTACAATTATTATTATTATAATTTTATTATTGCTATAATTATTATTATTATGATTAACATGATTATTATTATGATTAATATGATTGTTATTATGGTGATTATTGTTATGATTATGATTATAATTATTATTTTGATTATTGTTATGATGATTGTTATTATCATGATATTTATTATTGTTATGTTGCTTGATATTTATTGTTATTGCTTGATCACGCCTTTTATGCATGTTTAAAGGGAATTGGTACTTGTAATCGAGCTTAATAAGATAATTAATAATCTTATTTAGGGTTAATATGATTATAATTCAAGTGATCGCCAATAATAGATTTATTTGTGCATTAATATTCAACCAACATAGATAAACAGGTTTAGGGTAATCCTATTGATTGCATGTTAGTCAAAAAGCACACATGAATACGATCTGAACAAAGTAGAGGCCTATTATTAGGGCAGGTTCAATATCTTTTAGGTTGGATTTGTACCTTCATCCCCGAACCCTTATTTGGTTCAAAACCTTATGGAGTTGACGATCTCTTGGATCGTTAAGGGATGTAACCTTCACCTCGTGAACGGTTTACAAGTTACTAAAACTTGTTAGCGACTCTTTTGCTCTATCTTCTTTCCCTTTGGACGCCACCGTACTTTAGTGTATGATCACAGTGGGGTTCAAGCAAGGGGATTAACGCTTGAAATATTCCCTACAAGGAGGATAAAATCGTATTTTCCTCAAAAATATTCTTTTATTCTGATTAAAACTCTAAAAAAGTCAATTTATCAATGCTAATTAAATTAGGAATGAAAAGAACCTTCTAGAAGAATTTAGAAGACTAAAACCATTTCTAATTGCATTAGGAATGATAAAACTATATTAGGCCCTCCTCTAGATCATTGGGTCGCATATAAGGCTCAAATCGGGCCCATTTCAGTAAATTGGACATAACTTCTTCAATATTCATCGGAATTGGGCTTATAAGATATCGTCGGAAAGCTCTTTTAAAGCCCTATCCAACTACACTACTATTGGATCCATATCATGGACCAACCAAACTGGATTGGTTTTTTTCTTAAAATAGGTTTTCAAAAACAAAAAGAAGAGAAAAGAAATTAAAACTATCCGTAACACTAAACTTTCCACACTTTCACTTCATTCGATTATGGTTCGACGTGAAAGGTACTCATCACCGGGTTTGGTTTTTGGGGAGACGCAAATGGGTGTCTACAAGTAGCCCCTTAGCCTTATAAAGTATTTAATTCTCTCTTCTTCAACCAACGTGGGACACTTACATGTAGTGACACTTGAGAGGTTTATTCTTCAACACTCCCCCTCACATGTAAGGTCCCTTTAACTCAAGGATCACTTGATCCAATTCAATTTGGCCCAAAATACTTAATGCCATTAAAGGTCCTAAACTTTGGGCCTGGCAATATATTCAAACCATTAGAGGTCTCATACCATGGGCCTGGCTCTGATACCATGTCAAACGCGGGTCTGGGCCGCACCCGCAAACCAAGAGAGAGAGTCCACTTCACAAGTCCAAGGAGTTCCATCCCAAAACCATATGGCAATAGGAGGAGTAGCCCCTTAGCCTTATAAAGTATTTAATTCTCTCTTTTTCAATCAATGTAGGACAACACTTTAACAAAAATTTCCTCCTGCCGGTGGGTTAGAAAATTAAACCCACCGGTGGAATAACACTTTAACCAAAGCTATAAATTTCCAATATAATCATGGGAGATTGGGAGGAAGTTTTTGTTGAGTTTGTGTGAAGAGGTGAAAACAAGGGTCTCAGCTTTGACCCATGATTTAATTAAAAAAAAAAGGTTTTCGGCTCTCTTGTGTCGTGAGACAAGATATATTTGGTTCTCCTTGTGCCGTGAGACAAGGTTTGTGAGTTGATTCGAGCATGATTTTGCTCCATTGCTTTCGATCAGTCGCTCCTTGATAGACGATCCGAACCTGCCCGGAGCGAGCCTCCCATAGAGGCAAGTGAAGTTGGTGAGCCGTATGATGGGAAAGGATATGAGTGTGGTTTACTCTGAAAAACCAATAAAAGATTTGAGTGTGGTTTACTCTGAAAGACCAAAAGATTTGAGTGTGGTTCACTCTGAAAGGCCAAAAGATTTGAGTGTGATTTGACCAATAAAATATTTGAGTGTGGTTTATTTACTCTGAAAGACCAATAAAAGATTTGAGTGTGGTTTACTCTGAAAAACCAATATTTGATTGGAGCTCGGTTTTGCTCTAGAAAAACCAAAAATTGTTATATTTACAGGTTCGAAAAGAATGGCGTTCTTGTTTGATTGATGACAGATGAGTTCGAAAAGATACGTTCTCATCATTGAAGAAAAAAAAAAAATTGAAGGCGACATCACCAGAGAGTGCATCTCGACTTCAACAAAAGAAGAATTTCCAATCGCAACGTTCGTGTTACTGCCGTTACGATTGCGGGAAGGTGTTAGAGATATCGGAAAATATATGTGTGATATATTTTCCGTAGATATCATTTAAGAGAATAATATATTTAATTAGGATATTTATGTTAAGATATTATTTTGAGAATATATTATGGTTAGACGTATATCTTTTAGGAAGATTGTTTCCTATCTTATGTGTTTAGGTTTTGTATAAATACTCAACCTGTTCTTGAATAATGATCAAGCCATTCTATTCTCTCTTTCTCTCTAATTTGTCATATATTTAATATTTTTCTTATTTATAGATCATAAACGAGTTGAACTAAACTAAACTAAAACAACCTAATTAAACTAAACTGATCGAATTGAATTGTAATTAATTGCATAGTAGTTAAAAAAAAAAAAAAAAAGACATGTATATATGAAAATTGCACAGATCAAAGTAAGAAACACAAATCATATATTGCACAATTTTATTTTATTTTTTTAAAAAAGTGTCTACAGTTTATAGCAATATAAATAATTTTAAAAATTGTTCATTATCAACCCTTTCATACCCATTCGCACCAAATAAAATTGAAATTTAAAACAGTATATTAAGTAATGTGCATGCATGCATACAGTTAGCCTCGTATATTTGATGGTAAGTTTATGTATCTATGCTTAAACTATATATAAGCTTTTGTATGTAAATAATTCAAATATTTTACAAATTACTTCTTTAAATAGAAATTTGCAAAATAAGAAAATAAAAATGCGAGCAATCTTTAAATTATGAACACTTGGGGTCTTCACTTTCGTCAGTCTTTGGTCTGGTATTCATAAGTATCTGCAAATATTATAAAAACAAATTAATAATTGTATATACTCGTACTACGTAAGAGTGTATCAAAAAACCTTTTTTTTTTTTTTGGCAATTACCAAACAACACTATTACACTTTATTTCTGGTAAGACTGGTAGGTCCGTCTGGTTATCATTATTAGAGTCAAATTTTGATGAACTTAAAGGTAATAAATTTGTCTGTGTCAAAAAAAAAAAAAAAGTTAATAAATTTGTCAAAGTTATGATGATTTAACAATTTTTCTATTTTCTTCTTTTAAAAAAAAAATCTATTTCATTCAAAAGAAGTTACCATCGAGGCATTCCTGGTGGATGACCGTGCCTGTCTAACGGAGTAACGGTTAGACACTTAATTAGAGTGTGTATTATTTACCTGATTTTCTCTTATCTGAATTGAATTATTAAATCTTTCTAAACTTAATAATTTTATTTTATTTTATTTATTTTTTTATTTTTTTATTTTAAAGAGCCACAAGGGCGGGTGATGAGAATCAATCCTAAGATCACCTGGGACTAGGAGGGGAGCTCTAACCACTTGAGCTATCCCTCACTCTCAACTTAATAAAATTTTATATTTGATGTAATATAAACTTAGATAACTCTAATCATAAAAATATTTTCATAAACTGAACTTATCTGAATTTATTAGAACTTATTAGATCTAAAATAAGTGAAATAAGGTGAATGGAACATATGACTTTTAGGCATTAAGACTTTAGGCTACTTTAATTTGTATATGATATAAGTATATTATATATAGCTCTTAAGATTATATATAAGAATTAAATGCACTCCCTAAAATGGTAAGAGTTTGGAATTTAATTATAACAAAACTTGTTACCGTATTATATAATACCGAGTACGAAATACCACCACGTAACACATAATTCTTTCCTTTTGAATCTTCTTATACACTTTGTGACTAACTGCATATACTGATATACCATTTGCCTTTAAAAAAAGTTATTTAAGGCTTTAATTATATTATGTACTTTTTAAAAAATTTCAACATACAATCCAATTTCAAGTTATATTAATAGGAACTATATAATTATTTCAAATTAGTCCAATCCAATTTTGAAAATATTAGGGTTATCAAACTACTGAAAAAAAAAATTCAAATAGTTAATTAAAAATTAAGTGAATAATAAAATGTAATAATTTTAAAATTAATGGTTATCTTATGTCTAAGTAATCATGACTATTCAGTTATCATGACTATTCAACATAAACTATATGAAGTATGAATCAATGATTTTGCATTATTAAGGAATTGTGGTTGTGGAGGCATTATATTTATATTACGTTTATATTAAAATAGCTATGTATTTTATTTGTCCTTGACATAAATTAAATTTCAATTATTCCGTAATAAAATAATATTTAATTGATAAGTAGGCAATATATTAGTAAT